TACAGCGGTCCCTCGCTATAACGCGGTTCAACTTTCACCTTGCTGTTTCGCAGATTTTTTAGTGCAAGTTTGCATGCTTATTTTTACATCACATTGTGTCCTGCGTCCTGATCGCTGCAGACGATCTCCTCCGCGACGTCTCTCCTGTACAGTACAGAATCGCTGCATCGATTGCTAGCAGTGTGACTCTGAAGTGCAGTACTGTATGTCCACGAAACGTTTTGCACCGTCAAAAAATAAAATTGGCTACTTGATTTCACCTATCGCTGGTTATTTTTAGAACATAACACCCGCGATAAACAAGGGACCGCTGTTTACAGATACTGAGAAATATAACATTTGAATCCATTTTCTCTTTTGCTTTGAGGCGCGGGGGGAAAATATCGACAAGTCTATGAACATCATTTACAGATATATTAGGTAAATGCCCAAGACATCTATAGAAATGTAAATCGCCGCTTGATTCATTCATTTGCTTAACTTGTTTTGGACTGTAAACAGGGCGCAAATAGGACACCGGAAACAAAGCTCCCCACAGGAGTTTCCGCACCGGAAGTAGCATATGCTAACGTGCACATAGTCTATTATAATCTGCTGCTTTACTCTTACACTGCTGGAACTGCAGCTACAAGGACACAGAACACACTCAAAAGATACAGGTTTAATCAATAAAAAAATAACATCTCTCTTATTAGGTTACACGACAGAAACCTTTCACGTCTAAATCTACCCAGTTTAGATTTTCAGAGCTCTGATGTTTGGTCATCACATTAGAAATAACTGCAGAAGTGAGTTTTAAAATAAGCACAACGCAGGGCTTAACAGAGACAGTTGGTAACTACCATCATTATACCCATTATATAGGCTTTTTCAGGCCAGTATAAACAAATATTGAAGTGTGTATATTAGGCATAGTGCCTTTATTGAACAATGTTGAATTTCACATCCTGCTCATACATTATGTGTCACTCTTTTTAAAATAGGCTAATTACACATTAAATAAGGACTAGGCAACATGATTTAGCGATTAGTATTAATAAAACTATAGTAATAATCTTTCATTTATTCACTCCACCACAAACAATAAATGCGAGTGAATAAATTACTCACATCATTAGCCCAGGATCCTCCAATGAGGAAGTTTCCAGGCATGGTGGGTGGGCTGAAAGCCAGGCAGCTGATGCTGTCATCTGGAGGTGAAGTCACTTCAACATCCTATAAGGCAAGACAAAAAACAATAAAGAAGTATGAGTAGGACCAGTGACAAAATGAGGATAGAGTTTTAAACGACTCCTTTTAACATTTAACAAAGTTTATGTCATACAACATATTGACAACACTATTGGGCCACCTATACATTTTAGCTACAGCAGCTTTGATGAGATCCCATTCATTAACATGGAGTTGGTTCCCCCTAGGCAGCTGTAACATATTCTATTTTTCTGTGAAGGCTTTCAACAAAATTTGGAGTGCAACTGCAGCTTTTGCCCATTCATCCAGAAGAACATTTGTGAGTTTAAACATTGATGTTGGGTGAGAGGGACTGGGTTGTTAATCCAAAAGATGTTAGCTCGACAGCTATGGAAACCATACCGTGAAGCTCTTGATGCACAGTTTTTGTGTTGATGTTAATGTCAGAAGACATCTGCAGTAAGTGGGTCAGCAAATCATTGGCTACTTTTACCCACTATAATAATAATGATAATAATAATAATGGATTGCATTTATATAGCGCTTTTCGGGGCCCTCAAAGCGCTGTACAATTCCACTCTCACATTCGCACACTGGTGGAGGCAAGCTACAGTTGTAGCCACAGCTGCCCTGCCCTGACAGAAGCGAGGCTGCCATATCGCGCCATCGGCCCCTCTGGCCATCACCAGTAGGCGGGAGGTGAAGTGTCTTGCCCAAGGACACAACGACCGAGACTGTCCAAACCGAGGTTCGAACCGGCAAATCTTTGAGCCACGATTGCCTATGTACTTCAGCACTCGGCAACTTCACTCTGTAACGTTACCTGGCCTGGCTGAGTTGCCAATAGTTCCTAACTGCTTCCACTTTGCAACAATATCACTTACAGTTAAGCGTGTAATATCTAGAAGGCAAGAAGTTTAACTTCTTGCAAGTCAGTACTTGAATTCAGTGAGTATTTTACAACAACTCAGTCTTTCAAAAATGTTTGTAATGGCTAGCTGTTATATCTATGGAATGGCACTAAACACTTCAATTCAAAGATTAAGAGGTGTGGTCCAATACTTTTGGACATATAGTGTATGTTGCCGCTTTACCTTCATGGGATTGTGGCTGTCTGTAGTCGTGCTTCCAAACACCCCGGTCCCTCCAGTCCCAAACCCCGAGCTTGTTCCAAACAAACTCATAGTGCAATAACGTCAGCCACCCCTGAGAGAACAAAGAAAGACAGTGCTTTTATATGAAACAACACGCTAACTGCCAAAAGTTGTCAGTGCATCAAACAATACCATGAACCACTGAGCAGGTGATGAAAACAAGTGAATACTCCATGTGTGAAACACCGGGTAGCACACATTACGACATCCATTCAAGTACAATAAATTAGTTTTGCTTACAAGCGATATATAACTGCACTCAAGTTATCGTTGTTATTATTATTGAGGCTATAACGAAGTCACACATCTGGATAACCAAAACTTAGCATGACAGCTAAAGGAAATGCTAGCTACATCACTTGCCAGTGCTAACTAAATCACGCTACCAGGCTCGTTAATAAAAGGATAAATGGTCATTTAACTTCGATTGATATTTAAAATAGGGCTGAACCTATAAGCCACTATTATGACACCTTTCTCTGTGTGAAAATAAATACGTTTGGAAAAAAACGAGCTCGCTAACATTAGCTAAGCAACTCTTGACAAACCACTGTGCCTCCCGGGTTGGAAAAAACAAAAAAAATTCATGTTTGGTGACAATTTTAAACAACCTTAATTAAACATTTCACTGTCACTGAAACCTTCTCATACCTACAGGGATATACATACCACTAATTTCCTTCTACTCTAGATGTAATGTCGCAACGCTGAAAACGCTAGAAGTGTGGCGCTTGTTCCTTTGAGTGCATAGTCGCAGGTTGATGACGCTTTGGCTCCAGCGCTCAAGAAAATGCAAACCGTAAACGCTGTGTGGCAGCAAAGCAACAGACTGCATGCAAGCATACTGTATGTCTATGGGCAGCCCATTTGAGTTAAGGTGCCCTTTCAATTTCAGATTTTTTTTTTATATGACACGATTTAGATGAAATACTGTACAGATAAACAAAAAGTAAGAAAGTGGCAGATGGTTATTAAGCTAAGTATGTATATAGCATGCAGCCTAGGAAGTAAGATGTTTTAAACGTAAAATAAAAGGTTACCTCACTCAGATAAATGTAACAAATATTTAGTTTGGAAATATGAGGAATAGAAAAAGTTATATCAATACTTTTGGAAGTAAAGGTTTGGTTTAGTAAATGTGCCCACTTTCAAGCAACTGAAATTAAATGTAACCTATGAAAAAGGGGGAAAAACCAGAAGAAAATTATGTGGCAATAAAATTTGCTTCAGTCTCCCTTTCACTGGGCTGTGGGCTATCTTTCTGTAGCTTTGAAAAAAGGCAATTGTACAATAAGAGCGAATTAAAAATCAGGTTAATCAATAACTAGGTTTGGTAAATTAAATAAGGAACACTTGTGTCAAATTATGAACCTTGTAGTTATAAGACACTAAATATTCAGTGGAGCTGGATGTATAGCTCCAATGGGAAAAATGGCTTAAATTAAGAAACATGTTTGTTAATTTAACAATTTTCAAAGTTAACCTAAAGGCTTAAATACTATGGCTTTTAAGATTTAAACTGTTTGTAGTTGATTTGGAGGCCTCTTGAGTTTATTTGAGTTTACAGAGATCATGAGTCATGTACAGCGCTCTCTGCATAGGAAAAGCCATCTCAAGGACACATCTGGTGTCTGCTATGCAGCGCCAAATTCATTGTTAGTTAGGTGTTTTGTTTTGTTTTGTTTGAATATATTAATTTAAGCAATGATCCAGTGACTCTCTCTCTCTCTCCCTCTCTGAGGCTGGAGAGGCTATAATCTGTACTTTGCCTAATAGATCACCTTGACCTGTCCGTGGTTTTAATGTTTAGACTCATTGAAACCCGAGTAAATAATCTGTATTTCAGGATCGAATTGTTTTTCTAATTCAGAAATAAGAAGGAATAAATAAACAGGTGAAAATTACACGCAAAATAATAAATTCAAGCAATTAAATAATGTAATGGTTTTATTGAGTCAGCTCTATTTGTGACTTAATGTCATGGTATTGATTACAAAGTGGGGGATTTTGCCAACTTTCCTCTTGGTTTTTGTCGCTTTTATTGAATTTTATTTATTTATTTATTTTATTATTCATGCTCGTCTAACGTCACAGTTTTTGCTCCTTGCTTTAAATATGCAGCTCTCTCTTTGTTTATGATTAGTCATCTGACGCCAAACGGCTCTTTATGTAAACGCGGTTGATGCGGAACACCTGGGCTGATAACTACCGCCCTTATCGTGATTACGGTTGTTAGGTTTAGTTAAGTCATATAAGTGCAACGGAGTCGGTGACTGCTGCACTTGCTTCGTAGTACAGATCGCTAATGTGCAAAAGTGCAAACGTGTAAAATAGTTTAGTTTGCACATCAGTGAGCACGACATGGCATTGAAGTACTAAAAATATGACCACAGAAAGAGGTCACAAAGACTGGCTGTCAGGTAAGAAGGGATTACCACCAATGCAATGCTCTGATTGGACCCTGCATTCATAAACACAGGACGCTCTGTAGGTACCCCACACCCATCCGTGTCATTAACACAGAGCACTTCACTGTAGAATACAGCAGCCCCTCACCCCCGTTTTCTTACTCTGAACTGCTCCTGCCCCTCCCCAGACACACCGACCTTAGTAAGATCCATCCCCAAGTTGCCATTAAGACGAGCGCACAGCTGTGGCACACCGAAGACCCACGCGCAACGGCAGATCATCAATGAATGATATTCGGTGTAGATTGGTGTCACCCACACGCAGGAGGTATCTTTATGACGAAACAGCATCTCCAGTTTTATCTTTCGACTAATTCGAAGCGCGCGTAAAAACTGAGCTAAAATAATGTTGACAAGCGCCTTGGCAAAGATAACGTTCCTCCTGTCGTGGGGTTACTTAGTGCTGGCCACGCAGGTCGCGTTCTCCAACTTCTCCGTGGACAATGAAGTGCGCTCCAGCTTTATCCAGCGGCGACTGAGGGGCCAGGAGCGCAGAGAGATGCAGCGGGAGATCCTCTCCATCCTGGGGCTGCCGCAGCGTCCGCGTCCGCACGTGCACACCAAACGCAATGCCGCCCCAATGTTCATGCTGGACCTCTATAACACTATTAGTATAGACCCAGAACAGCACAGGTATTCAAACTACGAGACCGTTTTACCAACGCAGACCTCCCCACTGGTGACCCCACAGGACAGCCGATTCCTAGAAGAAGCAGACACGGTGATGAGCTTTGTCAACCTCAGTGAGTAGAGCATGTGTGACTTTTGAAGTCAGGAAGTGTGTTTACTTGGTTGTTAGCGTTGTATCATTTGATTTAACCTGTTTTCTCTAACGCCTCCATGCTTAGATATATATCTAAGTACCCTAAGATTATATGCACCCGTCCACGTCGTTCATCCACATCTGAAACTCCTTCATATCCAAATGACTAAGTTACCCAACCAACCTTGTTTATGGGCATGGTTTGATTTAGTCATCTCAGAATTCAGTTTTAGAATGAGCCCTTTCTCTTTTTTTAGTTCCTTTCCGGCAGCTGCAATACAACAGATAGCATTAAATGTTTCTGTCTGTCTCTCTTTTTTCTTTTATAATCTGTTGTTTCCGACTCTTACTTTTGGTGACTTTCTTTAGTTGAAATCAAGCATTATGCATTCCAAGCTGTAAATGTTATGACAACATGTATGTATCTGGTTTCCCCAGAACCCCTTCAAAGCTCTCAGGGAGAGGCTTTAGCATTGCTTAGTTTCGCATGACTAGAAATTGAACAGGCATTTCTCAATTTCAAGGGAGTGAGAGATGAGTCGATGAAGATCGAGATATAAACTGCATCTAAGCATGGTTATTGGTTTAGTAATCTTCCAGGTGCCTGTGCGTGCATTCTTCCGTGCTTGCTTGAAGGGCAGTGGGAGCTTGGGTTTATTCAGACATTATTGAATTTATAAAAGGCAAATCCAGCTTTGTTTTCCATGGAGATCGTGTGGAAGCTCCAATATTACTATGGGAAATCAGCAGACCACATGCTGTTTGAGTGTGTGGTTACATCCCAAACCAGCTCTGATCTTTGGGCTTGCACGGTGTTATTTAGGTCAATGTGCAGAGAGTGGGGTTTGGTCACCTGAAATATGTCTCCAAGAAATCATTAACCTCCCTTTCTGATTGGTTGTCAGTGGCATCGAACTGAAGCTTTATATAACAGGGCCTATTAGAGTTATTTCTTTTCCAACGAGCACATAAAGATGTAGTTAATACAAAACATTTGGAGACCACAAGAAAATCTCAAACACAACATTTTATGCCCTCAGTCCTGAACTTTTAACTGACAGTCCTTAGCTAATGAGATCTGGAAAAGCTGTTTCTGAAAACCAACAGCAGATTTGTGTGGTTTCACATTTGAGAACTTTGATTTTAAAGAGCAGTGAGAGGGGGGGACAGAGAAAGAAACAATGAGTGTGTATTATTTTGCTGTCAGGCTCACCGCAGCCTCTTGTGCAGGCTCCCACATCGTGCTAAAGTGACTCTATCTTGGTGGTCTTTCGATGATTGCTTCAAGAGTGAACTGGATTACGGTATTTCCCTTCCAAAGACCACAGCTTCCAATATGACGGAGAGCTGCTGCAACTAATTTTATCCTTTTACATAAATCCGGCCAATCTAATCAGTGTCTGTAAGTGATGTGAGTCGTGTTAGAGAGATGGGTAAAGATTTATAATGCGATTCACAGGTGCAACATCTAAACATGCTTACTGTCACTATAAAAGGCAGCTATGGTGCTCTGCACATTTCCACTGTCTTTATACTGTTCTGCATTTCTCTGCTCCTCATCTCGGCTCCTTGTTTACCACTTCTGCAGTCTTTCCCCTGACATGTGTACACACTCGTCCAATATGCTTTCTCTTTTTTTCTTTCTTTTTTGCATTGACCACAGCACACCTGCAGAGCATGAGAACAGGCTTTTTTTGCACAGAAATGTCACCATGTTTAGATAAGATGCAAAAAACTCTTGTAGCGGGAGGAACGACTGAAGAACAGATGGATTATTGTGTTTTTCGAGAACAAACATGAAGACATGTGCTTGTCCTGCTAAGCCGATTGAACAAAAATAAATTCCATTAAGATAAATTTTTTTCCACTCTGAAATGTATTACTGCCTTGTGTGTGTGTGGCTTCTCTTTTACGTGTTAAAGCAGATTTATGAAAAGGCTTTCTCTTCTTTGTCTTTGATAGTTCTCTTTCAGGGTTGTTAAACATAAAGGTCATGGATTCATGGGTCTCGAAGGAAATTAAGTGTTTTATTTGTCATCACCTTTTATTTAAACTAAAGATAAAATGTTTCTGAAATTAATAGACTAACTTGCATATCCTGGGTTTTTTTTTTGTTTTTTTTAGTGCAGATTTGTGATCCATCTTTAAACTCCCATGCTGTGAAGAAGACGCTTACTAGAAAAATTGCAATAGGTTAATAGTGGCTCTGCAACTATGTGGCCCTTTAGCGTTAGGGGTAATCCAAAGTGTTGAAATGCCTCCCAGAGGGAAGTTTGCATATCTGAGGTCTGATCTCTGCAGCTAATGGTCCCTAACGTAAACACACCAAGTCCTTACAAGCAATTATTGCTTTCATAAAATCACCCCTCTCTCCCTTCCAGCATTTAATTGCGGTCAAACAAATGACTAGCAGGGTTCAGAATGCACTGCTCTTAACGATGAGCGGCTTGTGCGTGTGTTTCTGCGCTAAGTGTTTGTAGACGTCTGTGAGTCAAAGCATGTGTGAGAGAACTCTGCAGTGCCATGAAAAAAAAAGTTTCTAGCAGTCGAGATCTTGTAAGGATGGATTTTTTTTGGGGTTTTTTTTTGTTTTTTAAACAATAGTGTGCTCCGTCAGTTGGAGTACAGGATGATGTCATTGCTGGTGATGTAGTGTGTACCAGTGAGCAGGATGTGTTTAACATGGCTAATCGCTGCTCCCCTCTGCTGCACACCTTCAGCAGAGACCCCGGCTGCTCTGCTGTTTCCAAGGACAAGCATGTTGACTAATGCTGTAAAAACACGACACTGGCAAGCTCCAGGAAGCTTCGGGGTCTTTCTGACCACTATTCCTTTTTTTTTCTTTCTTTCTTTTTTTTTTTCCTGGAAACTCTGAGTGTTGGAGAGCTTCAGCCGGCTCAGGACTGGGCGGAAACCTTGCAGTGTCACCAGCTACTGCTGCTCCACTTTCTCCTACAGTCAGGCTGAACTCACCGGATGGCAACGTATTGCAAAGCGATCAGGGGGCTGTAATGGGCACAGACACCGGGTATAATGGCACATGTGAATTTGTGTGCCTCTCAATGCTTTATGTGAGCGTGTTTGTAAAAGTACACTAGCTGCTGTGGTTTTCCGGGCTGCGCCTTAACTGCGCTTTTCTTGTGGTCAGCACATGTGTGCAATTTAAACAGGGAGCCAAACTGAGCCATGAGTATTTTTTTTCTTCCTTTCCTTCACATTGGCCTGTATGGCGAACTTGGCTAAAGTGATGTTTAGATCAGTCATTTTACTCATGGCAGCAGGATTTTTCCCATTTCAACCCGAGTGCTTCCGAGCTGCGGGCAGAGCAACACACATCAGAGAACTGACTGAATGTTTTGAGAGACCACAGTTGCTTTACCATCTGATTGCACTAAGTGGTTTGCCTTAGTGCCTTTTCAGTGTCTGTGCAAACTTTCTTTTTGAAGGTCAAAAGGGTTTTTTTTCACCGTTTGTGTTTGTGTGTGTGTGTGTGTGTGTGTGTGTGTGTGTGTGCCTCTGGGAGAAAACAATAAACCTTTATTATGGCGATGTTGTAACCAGATGGTCTATAAGGGGGATAATCCTTTTTAAAGCACATCAAAGCCACCACCTGCTCTTCAGGTTTGTCTGTCTGTTGTCGTCTTGTAGTTGATCAGGATCGAGATCTTCTCCTCCAGCGCCATGCTACAGAGTTTCGCTTTGACCTTTCACGTATTCCAGAGGGAGAGGCCATCACAGCAGCAGAGTTCAGGATTTACAAGGATCTCATCCAGGAGCACAGTGAGAACCAAACATTCAGAGTGAGTCTCTACCAGGTGCTGCTGGATCCTCCAAACGGGTAAAGAGAGTTTCTTATTTGCTCCTTTCGCTGTTTTTAATTGATATGATCATATATGTCAACCCTTCTTTTTTGAATTCATGATTTCTCTGATCCTTGAGCTCGACTCCATGGTTTGAGTCCTCTTGCTGAATTTCAACAGGCTAAACACTTGTTTTTCTTAGAAAATGGGTTGTTGGGCTACGTTTCCCCACAGCTTATTTGTGCCGATGTTCGTGTCAGTACTGCCACTGTTGACACAGAAATTAGTGTCAATTACGGAAATACAGTGGCTCTCTCAGAGTGGTTTACTCTCACGCTGTCTGAGAAAATCAGCTCCCAGGAGACCGGTGTTTATATCACACAGCTGAAGCTACAAAATAACACCATCAACACGTCAGTTTTTCTATTACGCAGTTATCTCTCCATCATACCTCCAGGTTTTCTCTGCCAGTGTCTGATATGTTTTTAACTTTCTTTTTATTTTCCTTTTTGAAAGCCGCAGGTGAATTTACACACCAACTTCCCTCTAACCTCAGGGAAAAGTCTGTTTTGTTTTGTGTTGGGAGACTCTAGAAATCCAGCACAAAAACTTCTTGCAGGATTCCTACTGACCCTCATACATGGTGGCAGCTGGCACTGTTGCATTGTTAACACAGATGTCTTGAAACTAACCAGCGAGCTAGACCTGAAATAAGAATTTGATCAATAAATTAGCAGTTTCAACATTTTTATTTTGATAACTTAATCATTTGGATATTTTTTTCCAAGCAAAAGTGACATAAAATTCCCCAGAATAAGCTCTTCACATGTGGATAAAAACTAAAACTCACTACAACATTAAGATTTCCTCTGATACATTGATGTAACTGCATACTTTTCCCTGTGTATTGTATTAATTTTTATTAACTTGTGGTAACTGGCAATTCCTAGAGTTGGTCATCTTTTTTAAAAACTTTATTTACATGTACATCAGGCTTTCTCACTGTCTGAGGCCTTATTGGATCTTTTTAAGGTCGTTATGTCTTTGGCTTTGAGAACTCAAAACTTTACAGTAACAACCATTAAATCACATTTATTATTTAGGCTGCTAATGAGAATACTGGTATTGTGTCAAAACATTAATTTGCAAAGCAATAAGAAATTATAGATACCAGTATAATATAAAATAATGTGGCGTATGTCATAAGATGCCTGATTTACTGATTCTTTTACATTTACATTACATTTTTATACCTTCAATGCCAAATTAATGTTTTGAATCTGAAAATATTTCCATTACTATTCTTCATATTTGTTGCTTTTGAGAAGCAATTTTGGTTTCACAATTTTAAATAAAATCAGACTTTTGGAACCAGGGAAAATCCACAGATTTTAAAACCCTTATGGTGGAAAGTTTTAGAAATTCTGCTGACACAATTTAAGATTTAATAAAGGGGGGAAAAAAACCTCCAGGTTTGTATTTCAGTCCAAACAGAAACTCATGGAAATGATCACAGGCGCAAACAACACCTACATTTTGTTTCTTGACTGACCCCCACAAATTGAAGCCAAAACTGTAAAAGTCAGTCTCTCAAACAATTTCTTTCTTAGATTTGTGGAGCTAAAACTTAATTTTGAGTTTTCATAATTAAAACTAATTAATAAAAATGAATTAAAACTAAAGATAAAGATTCATAACAAATACAGCTTTTATAAAGAAAACGTGTAGCGACATGACAAACATCCAACTCCAGAGGACCAGTCATTAGAAAAATGATTACGACAGGATTTACAAAGAAACTCGTAGGTTTTTATATTTTTTATATATGACTGGTCCTATTGTATCAGCTGAATTAAAGCCGGTCAGCAATGATTTAAAATCATGGGTTTGGATAAAAAGGGGTCATGTGCCAGCCAGTAGGTGTAGATTAAAGTGTTTTATCTGTGAGAGTGGAGCTGCCGGCAGCACCATTGTCATTCAGACACGCAAAAGCCACTCCACACAGACGAGCAGGCAGCAGGACAAAAGACAGACGTCTGAAACTCAGACTATAAACAAAGCAATTCTCTGTTGAGATCTGCCCCTAAGCGGACACACATCAGCGTTAAAGTGCTGCTTTGATAACATTCAAAGTGGGAGGACTGCCTGATTTAGAGGGGTAGCTGTCAGGGAATTTAACTGAGGTGATTCTTAGACTTTTACATTTTAAATTAGA